AATTGTCCGGGGGGTAATTGTCCGGGGGTAATTGTCCGGGGGGTGATTGTCCGGGGGGTATTTGTCCTGACACCGTATGTATGCATATATATATGTATGTTTACGAACCATGTCGCATCCTCGCCGTATGAAGTGACCACGGTGGCGCCACAGTACACTGGAATCGCTAGCACCTCAACCACGGAATCCTCGTATTCTAGTTGCATTGTATACTTAAAGATGGCAGGATGAAATGGCGGCGTTAGCTTTCCTGGGTATATGTGCAATGCTTTAATGGTTCTTCCATCACCACTTTCTGTGCGTAGAAAGATCAACTACTACTTAAGGAAATAAAAATATCTCATGCTTCCGTGATAAAAACTTGCTAATATAACGTTTTACGCACTTTTACACATAATATTATGAATGATGATAATAATAAAAAAATGAAATATAATGAAATATATGACTAAATAAATTGCAAAATTATTTGGTAATATCAAGATCGTATTAAGAATGTATAAGAAACAATTAAGCATTATTAATACGCTCTTGATAATATTTACTCATAATTCGCATGAGTTTCATACGATAAAGGGTGAACAGTATACCTTGACTGCAATACGTGGCGTTGGGTTTCCATACGAGATCGCCCGCTCGTTCCCTGAGCGTGTGACGGCAGTCTTTCGAGTTAGACCACCGAGCGCTTCCCTGATTGCACAACGGCTTCAGCTGTATGAAAATGATTCATAGTATTCTATCTACAGTGGCGAAATATAATTGGAAAGTATTTGAGCTATCGGACACACCTACACACACACGCACGCACGCACGCACGCACGCACGCACGCACGCACGCATACCAATTAACTCACGTCACTAAACATGGGAGTTCTGGTTGGCTTGTCAAGTATTATATCCACCATCTCGTTGAGAAGCGCTTGTTTCCGTAAAATATAACGTGGCTGTTGACAGTCACTAAAACTAAAAACTTCGCTTTCGTTATGTACCTAAAATGGTAATTTTGATAAAACATAAAGTGCATCAAGTGGATTTGCAAATACGGAAATATGTTATAGAACTACGATTGTATCGTCATTCACTTTTCATTTAAGTCATTATGAAAAAGATGTCTGTCTATAATTATTATTAACTTAATTTAAGCATTTCATATTATAGTGGTTTACACGCACTGTATTTGATCAGCCATTTTGCTAGGGTTACGTGGTGAGCAAGTATACGTCATCGAAGCCCATTTTATGCGGCAAATGCTACCACAACAAAGGCGACATTATCAGAAGGAATCGGAGCATCTATACTCACACTTATCACCACGGGATGCAGCTGCGCCGAGTCGAGTAAAATATCATAGGCCAGCAGCTGATAGCAGCGTTTACATGGCGCCGGCTGAGAGTGAGTGTTCGGAGAAAGGGCGCTGACCGAGCCGTCCAATGTCCAGAACACACTGTCTGCGATCGCTGTCTTCACGTACGCCTCTGCCGCAGCGTTATAATGATGCCTTATGTAAAACCACAGCATCTCCGTGTCCAAGTGTGTGGAGCAATCCTATTACGTAAAATGTTCAACTCGTTTTAGGGAGTTGTTACCTTTACTCTGCAGGGACGAACGAAAGCAAGCGACAGTTCGAAAACTGCTCGTCCGCACCACGTGAAAAAGCTTTAGTACTATGTCCTGGTAAGCATATTTTACCAGCCTTAAACAGTATTACTTAAAGTTACTAGTGGCGTATCCAGCATAGGGCGGAGCCGGCGTACCCTCCCCCCCCCCGTTTGCAGCCCCAGAAAAAAATCAATAAAACGTTAAAAAAAAAATTTAATAGCAGCGGGTATTCAGGGATAACGTCAGACTGAACGCCCCCTGCTTCTGTTGCTCCACAAGGTTCTCCCTTTGCAAATGGATAAGGTGGTCAACATCTTCATCAGAAGGAAGCATCGAAGGTTGTTATTGGCAAACCCCACGGGGGACGCTTAAGGTCCCGAACACACAATCATGACCTGAACATCTCAGTGGCAATTATTAGTAGGCCTAATTGTCACACTGACTTCTCACCCTGACCTGTGTACCAATCGGAGGTAATCACCAACATGATCAAGTGCGTTTCCTTTTTAGTGTCATTAAACATGTCAAAGGACTTATCAAGATAACTTGTGTTGCAATTCTTACCTGTGTTTTAATACATGTATTATTACTATAGTAACCTAACCTCAGGTGTGTACGCTCTCTGGAAAATCATGAAAAATGTTTTAAATCCTAAATTGTAGGGTTGAGTCTAGGGTTGAGATAATGTCATCAGACATCAGAATGTGGCCCACAGTAGGCCTATGCTTCAGTTTGCCGGAAAATGGCTTAAATATTTCAAAATTTTCTGGGGAAGCATGACCCCAGACCCCCCCGTAGAATAGGGTTTGTATTTGTTTAGATTGCAGTCATTTGGACATAATTATATGCATATTTTGTATAAACAATGGACCGGCGACCGCACCAATATTCTACCAGCAACAAGCACCTTTTTTTCTTAAGAAAATAAGAACCTATTTATAAGAACCTAAATAGCCTAATTTGCCTAAATAGCCTAAGCAATTTCCCAATAAATACCAATGATATAAGAAACTTTTTAGGCTAACTTGGAAAAATCCGTACCAGTCCGTAGACGCGTATATTTTATATATTTTCTAAATCAGTTGTGGTCGCCTATATAGTGAATCCTTACCTTGCTGAAGTCTTTGTCAGTCCTGTAGTGTATGATCCCGTGTTGGTAGATATAAGCACGTAGTGGTATGACGGACGACACGAGAACAATCACACGTATGCTGAACGGTATCCCGGAGAGTTTCATCGTGTCGTTAACATACAGCTGTACGTGCGCATCATTGTCAGAATTGGAGCCAAAAACACTGAAATCAACGAAAGGCCGTTGTCAGAAACAGGCGTAATGTTCATTAATTTTGTTTCTGACAATGGCCCCCCGAGTTGCACTGACACGTTATATGGCAATCTTCACGTCGGAATTTATCAGTGATTAGGCCTACTAATAGTTGGCGCGCATTTCAATAAAGTGCAACTGTATCGGCATTAAATTAATGAAAACGAAATTCGAGGGTAGTCCGTAGTGCTCAATATAGTAAAAATAATAATTGAGCTAATGACGACACATACAATACACATGCACACACGCACGCACGCACGCACGCACACACGCATATACACAGAACATGCACATACATCCACACGCACGCACACACCCACTCATTTTACGAGAGAAGCAATAGAAAAGAGAAAAAGCAAGAAAGAGAGAGTGAGAGAGCGAGAGAGATAGAGAGAGAGAGAGAGAGAGAGAGAGAGTGAGAGAGCGGGACGAGGAGGGAGGGGGAGGGGGATGGAAGGAGGGAGGGAAGGCGGGGAGGGAAGAGGGGAGGGAGGGAGGGAGGAGGGGAGAGGGAGGGAGGCAGGGCGGGAGGGAGGGAAGTTGAGGAAGGGAGGGAGGTGTGGAGAGGCGAGGGAGGGAGGGAGGGAGGGAGGGGAGGGAGGGAGGGGGAGGAGGTAGGAAGAGAGAGATCATATGGTCGAAAGAGGAGAGGTGAGCGAGAGATCTATCAGAGAGAGTAAATAGAGGGGGAGCAAGACACAGGAAAAGATGATTGGGAGATGACGGAGCAGGGTAAGAGAAAGGCAGATTGAAAGAGGCAGAGAAAGATGAGAGAGAGAGACGAGAGAGAGAGAGAGGAGACGAGAAAGAGCGAGAGAGAGAGAAGAGAGCAAAGAGAGAGAGAGAGAAGAGAGTAGAGAAAGAGCGAGAGAAAGAGAGAAGAGAGGACAGAGAGAAAAAGAAGGAGAAGAGAGAAGAGAGAGAGAGAGAGAAGAAAGAGCAGAAAGAGAGAAGAGAGAAAGAGTCGAGAGAGTGCGCGTACATCAAACTGTTACAACGGGTTGTACCACGTGTCAATAAATAAAGGGTATCCTATAAATGGGAGTGGCACACCTGATTCGCAATAAAAAATGTGTTTGTTAACCTTTTTATTCCGTGTCACTACCGCGATGTCTATTCAACGCAATAATTTCCTGATGGATCGGATTGCTTTAATATCGCACTTCTTTCAACGGGTCAGTGCTATTCCGTTGAAATTCAATTTAGAAGACGACACGGTACTGCGCTGGTCTGTACGTCTGTCGTCCCTTTAACTGAAAGCAAACTAATCGATACATCATATATATATATATATATACTTATATAATATATATATATAGTATATATATATATTAGTGGGGACTCAGTTTCAACAAATGGCGCAATGCAATAATTTATTATGTTTCCAAGAAGAAGTAGAGAATAAGAAATCGCTAGTCCGAATAATGCAGTATAGAGCTAATGTGTTTTGAAAAGAAAACATATGTAGCATAGCGCTGAAAGACTCTTCATATTAATGTTAGTAGTCACTGCGGTTACGTTTCCTTACGTTACTTTAAGTTTCCACAGTTAACCCTACACAATTTACAACAGTTATCTCTTACTGAACATTGGTCAACTAACCGTAACTATTGTAACCGCACGTAACTATGGGTTTTGAGAGAGCTGCAAAGTGTGGTAAAAGAGAGATAGAGAGAGTAGAGTGAGAGAGAGAGAGAGGACGAGGCAGACAGAGGACTGAGAGAGAGAGAGAAGAGAGACGAAGAGAGGAGAGGAGAGGAGAGAGAGCAGAGAGAGAGAGAGAGAGAGAGAAGACGACTACGTAAGTGGAAGACTCGCTAGAAAATCCGCTCGCTGTTAACCATTTAATCACACCCCAGTTCTCTCTTTAAGTGCCTCCGGAGCGAAAAGATAATGCAGTACCAGTCAGGGCGCAAATGACCAGCGGGGGCATGGGACATGTGCCCCCACGAATTTTCAGAGGGGGGGGCATTCATATCAAATGCCCGGCCACGATTTGGATCACCATGATTTTTGGGTGTAACAGTGTTGGTGTTGTGCTGTGTGTGTGTGTTTTTTGTGTGTGTGTGCGGTGTGTGTGTGTGTGTGTGTGTGTGTGGCTGTGTGTGTGTGTGTGTTGTTAGTTGTGAGTGAGAACTCTTTTATTATTGTGTGATAGTGCGTCAACGATTGGCTTCTTTCCCTCTTTCTTTTTGCGCAGCGTTCATTTTATTCAGTGCATTTGAGAGCATAATAATGATCATGCACACTTAGTAAAAATGTGTCTGGCCATAAATTTAGCTCCCGCCTTTCTTTTTTAACACAGACTTTTTTTTTCTGCTTATATTAAATATTCGTGATACAGAAATCATCAAGAGAAAGTTGTTTTTTGAAGTTTAGGCAGATATCACTACAATATAGACAACTGATTCAAGGTTTAAGCTGGGGAAACACGAAACTATATTCACGCAAAGAAGGACACTGAGTAACTGACGCAAAATAAATTTTCATTACAAATTGATGAGTATATATAAACGCATACTAGTGATATGCTGGGAACGCAACAATGAACAAGCGGACCATATATATTTTGTGATCAGCACTCAACCGCAAGTGATTGGTTGTTTCTGCTTTTTGTTTCTTGATTTTTATGACTGCAACCTGCGATTGGACGACGTTTTCGTATCATTATCACAACAATGATGCATTCGTGGTGTGTCGGTGTGTGGGGGGAGCGGGGGGGGTGCGCGCGCCGGCGCAGGGGCCGTGTACAGGGGAGGGGGTCCAAGGGGC